AGACTGCAAACTAAACCTGGACTCGTCGGAAAACATCACACCAGACCACTGTTGCGGTGTCCTCAATGCATGCTCTCTATTCCAGGTTAATCGCAGGCGACAGTGAGTTGCGGTAAGTGGAACACATCTGACAGACCTACGAGCATATAGACCAATGTGCCCTAAGCGTCTGTACACGGTTTGCCTTGGAACTGTCGTACCGGTAGCTGAAGAGAGCTGACGAGACAGGTCTGATGCTGTGCTCCGTCTGTTTCTTTTGGCAGTAACTGCTAAATACCGGTCCTCATTCGGCGTTGTAACTCGGGGGTGGCTTGTGCTGTAACATCTACTCACATTACCATCATCTTGGAATCGTTGCCAAAGCCTGGAGATGACACTCTGGGCGATTCCAAGTTCATCGGATACTTTCAGCTGGGTACGTCCACATTCCAGTCGTCCGATAATTCTACCACGTAAAAAATCATCCAAATGCTTCCTTTGTGCCATAACTATGCGGTTATTGCACTGTAAGGCTTTTAAAGCGCTTGTGAACAATTTTACTTCTTTGCCACCATTCCTTATATACCGCTCTCTTACACTCTCGTCCTTGTGGCGTACTATCCGCGCCATCTGGTGGTTTCCTGTAATTTGCATATTCTTCTTCAAGATGTGTGTGATAATTCTAAAGGTGAAATTTTTATTTTAGAGTTCAATTTTTGTGTGATTCTGAATTATCCTTAATTTATGGACATGAGTGTATTTATGAATAACATTGGTCAAAACATGGAAATAAGCAATTTGGATTTTAATTGAAAACATAATAAACGACTACTTTACTCTTTCATAGTGGTTACATGCGCAACTAGGGTTCAAGAAATTTCTGGTTTGAATCCGCTGTAGGCGGCTTTTGGAATCGCTGTTTCCAGAAACAAGGGCACTCAGCGGGAATTATGACAGCATATATAGTATAAGCCTGTTTCATCGACAATCAGTCAGGATGTCCGGAGAAAGTCTTAAGAGTTTTCCCATCGCAAACTACAAATGTAGGTTATTTGTCCCTAAATATCCTTGTAAAAAAGCAATATTCTCTTTTCATTTTCCGCTCAAGTTAGGTGGGCTCTCCATGGCTTATATCAATTGAATGCGAATCCCTCGATGCATATATAAAAATAAATTAGTGTTTACCATCTTCTGAGATAATCAGAAAACACCATCATTTATTTTTGTAAAAGTGCATTAATAAAAAATCAGTGCTATCAGCTCCATTAAAAGTCTTTAAATTAAAATAGAAAATGAATTTAGGGCAATAAAAGCACGAAAGTTTAATAATTGATATCAGAAGTACATACAATAATAATCATCTTTTTGCTTACTACTTCCGAATTTTTGTGTTATGGGTTTGAGTCCTGGCTGTGCCATGGATGTTCGTAAGGGTTCGGAATACGCTTTAAGCCCTATTTCCCGGTCTAATATGACTGTTGAGTGTAGGGCTGACAACCCTCTCTCGTAAAAGGAAAACATCTCCTGTCTAGAATTCTTCCAGTAGGCAATCGGTCTTTGTCCTCCTTGAGGCTGTTGCGCCAATGATGACGATGATAAACTTTCTTAATGGGGCCTGATGGCAGAGTGGTTAGCTCTCCGGCGCTCAGTGCCATGGGGTTTGAGTCCTTGCGATGCCATCAATTCTTGTAGTGGTTCAAAACCCACTTTAAGTTGAAGGTCCCGGTCTTATATGACTAATGAGTAGGGCAGACAACTCTACAGCATAAAAAGAATCTCTATCTTAAAATCCGCCAGTAGGCAGACGGCCTTGGCTCATCATGTTGCCACAGAAGAAGAGCAACAATATATAATTAAGATGAAACAGTTATAGCAAGTATTATAAGTACAGTAAATAGAAAATGAATTTTTAATTGACAAATTAAAGTGTCCCTTTTTAGTCTTTAAAATATTAAAAATTATTTTTATGAATCGATTTAAGGCAATTTTATGAAACTATAGAATTCAATTACCTTTATCTGTAGCGCAAATGAAGAAGAAGAAACTCTCTTAATATAAGTGATTCTTACATAATATTTTGAGAAAATTGAAAAAGTCTGCTTACATTCTGAAAGCTGGGCCTGAATGACCGAGTGGCTTGCGCTTTGGCCCTCGGTTTTCAGCAACAGGTTTCGGGTTCAAATCCCGACGGTGCCATGGATGTTTGTAGTGGCTCGGAATCCCCTTTAAATCGTAGGTCCCGGTCTAACATAATTGTAGAGCTTTGCGGAGGTAGTGTTACTCCGCGGCCGTAGCTTATCTTCAAGCTGCACGCACCTCCTGAGAGAGTAACGTCGGTGCAGCGCTTGCCTTAAGGCATCGAAGATAATTGTCTAAGTGTTTGCCAGCTGCATTAGAACAACATAAAACATTCTGAAAGGTAGGCAACTCAAAGTGAAAAACAGAGCATATAAAAATAAATAGTTAATGTTAGCCTCATATATTTTAAAACAAAAGTAATTAAAACCAAGTGACAATTTTAATTAAAAGTTTTTGAACTTAAAATTTATCATGGTCCACAAGTGATTCGACTGTCTTAAAGAATAACTCTTACTTACTTTCCTCCCACGCATTTTTCAGGGAAGGCTACTCATCAGTCAGACGCCGCCTCGAAGATCAAATAAAAGCATCATGTTCACAAATGATAAAAAAATAGATCAACAACTGATCACTCGAGATTAAGTAATATATTTTCCTTTAAGATCATTCTCTCTACGATGCTTAGAGATTAACGGCATATACATTGCTTAAAAGTTATTTAAAGTGATGTGATATCAATCAAGTACAAGCACATTAAAAATATCAGTACTGATAATAATCATTGATAAAATCATAAATAAAAATCAGCGACTGTCGATGTAATGGCCTTGTACACGTTTCGACGTCAATCATGTTTCTTCTTTTATGAATACTACTGTGTCCAAAAAGTAAGACAAATTTTCAATTTAAAATTCCGGGGCAGATGGAATTTCAATTTATTTTTTCCTTTTTTAGGTTGCTGGCACTGTCCTTGACATTTGTGTGAAATTTGATTTCAAAACATTCAATAGTCTTTGAGTTACGCTTGGCTTTGGGAGAAGCTGAAACCGATTTCGGCGATTTTTGAAGTGTCTCAATTAATTGAGCAAAGAACTAGGCATTCAATTTTGTCTGCGGAAACATATAGAATGTTGCAGAAGGCCATTCGGTGAGCATTCCTAAATCGGAAAGAAATGTTTAGAAGTGGAAAAAACAGTTCAAAGAAGGCAGAGAACGCGTTGAAGACGACCATCAAACCGACAAAGCTCACGTCCAAAAAATTAAAGATTTGTTGATTGCAAACCGTCGATTTACAATTAGAGACCTTGCCGATGATGTTGGAATTTCAAAAGGATCGGTCAATTCCCTTTTGGGCCTCAAAGGCGTCAAATCTCGATTGGTACAGAAAACACTGAATTCGCCAACTCACACTGCATTGATTCTTCGTGACTTTTTCGCCAAAAATGAAACCCATATCGTTCCACAACCACCGTATTCACACCGTGCGACTTCTGGCTGTTCCCTAAACTCAAAAGACCACTCCGGGCACACCATTTTGAGTCGATTGAAGAGATTTAACGTGAATCGCCGCGCTCTTTGAAGGCCAACCCTGTCAATGACTTTTTAGCATGCATTGAGGATTGGAAAAAAAGTTGTCATAAGTGCATTGTGTACGGAGGGGATTACTTTGAAGATATAATAAATGATGAAATGAATTTGAAGAATAAATAAAGAGTTTAAAAAAATACTTTTACAGTAGTATAATTTTTGGTTAATAAAATAATCTCTTTATTATCAATAATCTAACAAACATGACTAAATGATATTATTATTATTTTGGGCACGTATGTATATCAACATATTTAACTAATTATATCAACAATACAAATATGTAAATGCTGTCTAATTTTTAAAGTAATTAAAAAGAGCGTCAAATCCTCCTCTTGTTCCAAATTTTTATTTTTGGTAAATATAGTAAAATTATAATTATTGTATGCTTATTAAAAGTTATATAAATGAATAAAAAATTTTCAAATTTAAAACTTAAATTCTGCATTTCATTTTAGGTTAATGAATAGGGAACAATGACGAAATTAAAGATAGTACCAATTATATATTTTATCTTCATATCCTGTGTTCTGTACACACCATTCTTGGACAGGTTAGTGTATACTCCATCAGGCCCAATAAAAGGTACTACGAATTTTGTATCAGTATCTCCTGTACAAGTATTTCTGGGTATACCTTTCGCCAAACCTCCAGTTGGAGATTTGAGATTCAAGAAACCAGTGCCTATTGAACCGTGGTCAGAAACTCTAGAAGCCAAAACGATGCCTCCAGCATGTATGCAGTACACACAGTATCCTTTCCCGTGGTACGATTCTAAGCCTGGTAAGAGTGAAGACTGTCTTTATTTGAACATTTATGCTCCATTCCATGCCAAGGAGGGGAGTAAGAAGGCAGTGCTGTTTTGGATTTTTGGTGGAGGATTCACTTTTGGATCGAATCGTAAAGATCTGTATGATGCCAGCGCGTTGGCTCTACGCGGTGATGTTATTGTGGTGACTATCAATCATCGATTGGGTGTCTTCGGATTTCTCACATCTGGTACGGAAGATGCACCAGGAAATGTTGGTGAGTAAATTCTTTGTTTTCATCAATGTCTTCACTGTGTTGTAATACCATTCGTATTACTTATTTAGTATGTTAATATCACGGGTTCGCTCTTTTAAAAGTGTTCCCACTCTATGTGTTGGCCTTTTGCCCTGACGGCTTAGGCGAAACACGCTTTTTCGAATACTTAAGAAGCCAACTTATGGGTGTGCCTAAAATAAAGGTCCCGGCCCGTGACTTGGGCAAGAGGGAGGTTCTCGTCTTTTTTAAAAAGACGAGGCCTAGGCTTGAAGAGATGTACCCAAAGGTACACCGCCCCGTGGCGTTCCTTCTCTCTTAGGATTAATGCCAACGGCCATACCATGCTGAATATACCGGTTCTCGTTAGATCACCGAAGTCAAGCATCATTGGGCGCTTTCAGTACTTGGGTGGGTGACCACCTGGGAATACCGCGTGCCGTTGGCATTCCCAAATTTGGGACCTGAATGGCTGAGTATCTAGCGCTCAGGCGCTCGGTGCCACAGGTTTCGGGTTCGAATCCCGGTGGTGCCATGGATGTTTGTAGTGGTTCGGAATCCACTTTAAGCCGTAGATCCCGGTCTCCTATGACTGTAAGAGCGTTCACGGAGCCAAAGTCAGACTTCTACCTACGGGTGCTCCATCACAACAGAAGCTGCTTCCTTCCCCTTCAGTCACGAGTACGTAGGGGCTCGTGGGCTTGGCCAGCCAAGTGGGATAAGAAACAACAAAACAACAGTATGTTAATTTCTGTCAGTTATCGTATTGTAGAAAAGATAGATGTAATTTGTGTATTTTTAATGAGTTATATCATTTAATTTCATTTACTCTGTGTATTAGAGACTATAAAGCAAAAGTCGTCTAATTTATTCTTCTACAATTGGAATGGATAGACCAATAGTCTTCGATAACCATATCATAGATCTTTTTATTACTTTCAAATTTATACTATCTATTTAGAATAAAATCTACCGCTACTTCTAAAATCTACTATTGTAGAAAAGATGGGTTTTCGGGTGGGGACCATATGGTAAACACACAGATAAATATATCTATATAGGGAGAGAGCACTTTGGCGCTTGTTCGGGTTCGAGACCCTACGGTGCCGTGGATGTTTGTAGGGGTTTGAAATCAATTTTAAACCGTAGATCCTGGTCTAATGTTGTGGTGGTAGTTTTATTCGCATCCATAGCACGTCATCAAGCTACACGTGTCCCCTGGGTAGTGCTAAATGAGTATGTATTGCTTATGACATAAAGAATAACTGTTTCTGCATTGCCAGCTGCAAGAGAGAGAGAGAGAGAGAGAGAAAGAGAAATTATTTGATCACAAATACAGATAAAAAAATTAATAAACTGTTTTCATCAATTTCATGAAACGGATTTCTAAAAATAACATTTTTCAGCTTGCATTTGAACATTGGTAGACACTTGTATTTTGAACCAACGATACAAAAGCAATTGTAAGTTCATAATGATTATTTTTTCTGTGATAGCAATTTGTAATGGTTGACGTAATATAAAGATAAGGTAAGTCTTTTATGCGAGCAAAAGAACACAATTCGGCAGAAATTCGTCTCCAACTTAATGCTATTTAGGATCTGCACCATTGAGTGCAGCCTGGTGGCTAATTGGTTAGCGCTCTGGTCTTTGGTACCACAGGCCAGAATCCATGCCATATATGCCAGAATCCAAATATCCATGCCGTTGCCAGGATTCAAATCCTGGCAACGGCATGGATGTTTGTTTGTAATTCGGAATCCATATAAAGCTGTTGGTCTCGGTCTAATTAGCCTAAAGTGTGCACAAAAGTACTATAGAGCGCCAAACAAGCAACATTGATTAAAATATTACTTATCCGAATGATTCGAAAATGTTTGATTTCCCTGACAATCGCAATCCTGCAATCTAAGATTAAGGTTGGCTGGATCTTGAGTCCCACACCTGAAGTTCTAACCTACTTCCTAAGTTTCTGCAACAGACAAAAGTGAAATCATCAGCTCTGTATTCATGAAACTTACAGGCTGTTTAATATAAAGCTTAGATTCTAAGAATGATCCCGTAGTAGAGTGGCTGTGCAAGTCAATGATTACAGATGAGGTATGATTAGGTGTGAAACATAATAAAAGCATATAACAATTAAAGTGTAGTTACAATTTTTTTATATTTGTAACTAATCGGCCTTTTTAATTGAAGCGCATCTCGTAATTTTTTTCAAAATGTTTTGCCATTACCTAATTTTATGCATGTATTTATATGTTGGCTCTTAAAAAATCATATACAAAATGATTATAATTAAAGTGCCATTTTCAAAATGCTGTACAAAAAGGACCACCCGTCCACCCGTTCCAATTTGAACTAAAGGTACTTGAAGAAGGTAGAAACGGTGCGGCCTCAAAAAAGTTCCAAAGTGTATTGATAGATGGCACTGTAAGGGGCATAAAGAAAGTGAATTCGGCTGCCAATGATATTTTGAATCGAAACTACAACGTATTTGGCATGAGTTGCACATTAAGCCAACTGTAGTGTTCAATGTGCTTGATTGTTTCGGTTTTTTTACGCAAAAAATGACTTCCAAGTCATTCAACAGTTGTTACACTGTTAGCGGAAAGCCCATCCACCAAGGCAAGGTCATACCAAATGGGAAGGAAAATATCGGTGTAACTCTTTTTGATGCCGTGGTGGATGATTTCCGTTGAAAGTGAATTCGGCTGCGAGTGATATTTTGAATCGAAACTACAATGTATTTGGAATGAGTTGCACATTAAGCCAACTGTAGTGTTCAATGTGTTTGATTGTTTCGGTATTTTGACGGGAAAAAATGACTTCCAAATCATTCAACAATTCTGACACTGATAGTGGAAATCCCCTCCACCACGACAAGGTCATAACAAATTGGGTGGAAAAAATCGGTGGAACTTTTTTTGATGCCGTAGCGTTCTTCAGGTATCGTTCCCTCTTCTTCAAGTACCTTCAGTTCAAATTGGAACTAAGTATGACGAGTGGTTCTTTTTTTACAGCATTTTGAAAGTGAGAATTACTATAATCACCCTGTATATGTAGTATAACATTATATTGTGATCTAATGTCTTTCAGCATTTTTCGACATTGTAATGGCTCTTCGATGGGTGAACGACAACATTGAATCTTTTGGTGGAGACAAGGATCGGATCACCCTTCACGGCCAAAGTGCGGGTTCCATGGCCATCAGCCTACTGTGTGTCTCACCCCTGACTAGAGGCATGTTCAGCAGGGTCATCATGCAGAGCGGATCGACCCTATTTCTCAAGTACAACCAGTTGAACGCCAACTTGCAACTCAGTCAGCGTCTTGCAAGAGCTGTCGGTTGTGCGTCTGATGACAAAACCATTGAAGATCATCCACGAAATGTCGTCGACTGCTTAAGAGGTAACAAAGTGATCCACGAAATATTATATTCTTGTATATAAGTATGGTAATCAGCATATACAGGGTTATATGGTGAAACTCATATTGAACCTCTTCCGCTTGATAGATATACTACTGTGCCCAAAAAGTAAGACCAATTTTAATTTTTTTTCAAAAACTCTTTATTTATTCTTCCAAATTTATTTTATCACCTTCAAATAAATCCCCTCTGGGCACAATACACTTAGGCCAACTTTTTTTCCAATCCTCAATGCATGCTAAAAAGTCACCGGCAGGGATGGCCTTCAAAGCGCTCGGCGATTCACGTTGAATCTCTTCAATCGACTCAAAATGGTGTCCCCGGAGTGGCCTTTTGAGTTTAGAAAATAGTCAAAAGTCGTAGGGTGAGAATACGGTGGTTGTGGAATGACATGGGTTTCAT